TGGGATTGAATATCTGATATGCCCGGTGACTGAATAACAAATACAGAGAAGGAAAAAGAGAAGCAGCGAGTTTTTTCCTGAGTATGAACGCCATTTCACGCACTGAGTGCAGGGTCGCTGTCCGTGAACCATTATGGAGGAGAAAACGCCTGATATGATCCAGAAATAAAAACTTCTACCAATTAAAAAAAAAAAAAAAAAAATCCAACCATTAATATAAACGTTGTTGCATCAGTATTTTGTCGTATAACCTTAATCAGGAGGGAGATGTCTGTATTCTAACATCACAGAACATACAAATAGAGCTCTATCCGTTTCTTGTGTGGGCACGGTACTGAGAGAGAGCGAGGTATGGGAGGGTTTTCAGGAAAACCTTAGATTGACCAATAGCGTCGCTTGCTGTCCAGATTTAGTAATATCATTTAAATATAAAAGGAGATCAAGATTTTAGATAATACATGTTTTTTTCTGAAACATAAGATACTAATATATAAACATGAAAACACAGTCACACTTAAAAAAGTAACGTTTTAATGATTTCAGTGTTTTTATTTTTCTTCTAATATGAATATCATAGAATATAAATTCCAACTTCCTAAAGTGTAAAAGGGAAAAATAAGTGGTACGTTGAATAAAATAAAACCATGATACTGAAGTTATGTATGAATGGCAGCCCAGAGGAGTTAATGTATATCCACAATCTGAATATTAAAGCCAAATCAAAATAGTGTATTCCAACTATTTTGTTTGAAAATGTAGTCATTCTTAAAATTGTCCAACCAAAGCAGCTTTTTTACAGTAAAAGGAAAAAAAAAAAGTTTGTTTTCATAGAAATATTAGAGAAAAAAGCTTTTTTGAAAAGAGCATTGTGAGGGAAATTAGATATTTTCTTGTTCAAGTATGAATTTAAACAGATAGTGATGGATATTATGTAATGCAAACTAACACGTTTTAATGGAAATAAAGTGGCCAAGTGTATTACTGCGATTGCAAAATGTAAGAACAAACAATGAGGGCAAATTAAAAGTTTGTGATTAAACTAACCTCCAGAGGAGAGTCTGGCTCATCCAGGATGCTCTTCTCACTCTGCATCCG